GGCCTTGCTACCACACTGTCCCACTGAGGATGTAGGGACCCATGTGGCAGGTGGAGCGTGGCTATCGAAACCAGTGCATGTTTACCACGTGGCCTCACGTGCCCCCTTGCAGCCTTTAACTTCTGCATGTGTTCAGGCTTCTCCAGTGCACCCTCTCTCCCTTTCCTGCACATGTCATCATGTGCCCAGCTCAGTGATGGGATGTCATCATGTGCCCACCTGGCCAAGCCAGAGCAGCACAGCCAGGCAGCGCCCTAGCAGTGCCTTTTACCAGTTGATTGATTTATAAATTAATGGCATTTGAGTGCTCCTCTTGGCCAAGGACCAGTTGGGGTGGGGGTAGGGGGCTGGTACGTGGCTTTGGGTTTTTAAAAAATTTATCCTAGCCCTAACAGCTACCTTGCAGAAAGTGGGTTTAGCAAATGTTAGATTCAGTGGGTCCCGCTTTTGAACCTAATGGTAGAAGCCCTGCTCTGTGAGGACTTCCCCTTTTTCAGTCATTCTTTGCTTGGAATTTCTGCTTTGTCAAGTTTCACAAAAAGCTGTGAGGATACCAACTTCACAGAAATCTTGCCTACTTCATAGAAATCCTAAAAAGCTTGGAGCACTTTATTTTTGTGACTATTTCCTTTCTCTGCAAATGCAAATTGCTCCTAGGAGCCCTCGGTAACAAATTATTATTATTATTATTATTTTTAAAAGGGCTACAAAAGAAGCCTGTGGTATGAAATTAAGCCTTTAGGGGAAGATTTGGGAGTACATGAAATAAAAGCCACAAAATCAGCATAATTGTTTTGCTTGGCAGGCCTGCCCATACAAATGTGCGGATGTCCCTGAAATTATGACAAGGAAATTGTATGATCTATTTCAGGTGCCTGTCCTTTTATTTTCTTGGAAGTGGAGAGACTGTCTTAATAGCCCACGAGGGTAACTTTCTCTCCTTCATAACACACTCCTCCCACCCCTGCAACCTACAGGTCCCTTTGCAGCTACTCTCTATCCATGTACATCCCTTAGCCAACCTAAGGGCCCCCGCTGTGATCCCTGATCCCCTCCCCATTAGCTGCATGGTAGTGGGGCGATTTCAAGCACAGAGGAAAGCATAAACTATCTTATGAAGAGATAACTGTCCTTCAATCCCAGCAATTGTGCGATGTGGGCACCCCCTTACCAGCGTTCATGTTGGTTAGAAATCACAAGTTAGCTCAGCTTGGATATCCAAGCAGTGGCACATCTGTTTCTAGGAGATTCTCCTCCAGCACACAAATATCAGTACTTTTTATTTATTTATTTTAGAAAATGTGTTACTTACCTTGTAAAAAATTTTTTGGGGGGGTGCAGTAAAGAAGGAAACTTTATTCCATGCAAAACTGCTCAACTGTGATACAGCACAATTGTCTTTAGACCAGCTGTGGTCTAAAGGTTAAGACAAACCCAAGTCATGGCGAAATCCACGGTATATTTCGTTATACGAAGAAGTGTAGGATTATTTGCTATCAGGAAATGAGATGCTGCTCCAAAGACGGGTATCTTTAAGACAACAAACCTTAGTATTAATCTGTATCCCATAAAAGGAGGTGAGGTAACATTATAGCCTTCAAAGCACATTAGGCTCTTGCTCATGAAGGGTTTCTGAAGAGTACAAAGCCAGCTGTTGCTGAAAACTGGTTATTCGAGGGAAACTAGTCGGCTTTCACACTCCTTTTTTTTAAAATAAAAATTACGACAATTTTAATAATACCCAAGATAATTGCCTACACAAATCGCAAAATGTACCAGGTACTGTACGTTTATATTCTTTTTTTATTGTTGATGCTGTTACAGGCCTCCCCCATCTTCCCCT